TTTAAACTACAATCAAATCATAACATGATACATATTAATTGTAGTCCTCATTTAAACTAAAAATCTTCATTCAGACAAATAAACATACTGTTTTTCTTTTCTTGAAATAAAACACTAAATTAAACAATAAATTTTCACGACTTAGTATGCAATTAAAATCTTAAAATATATTAGACATCTCAAATTAACATATAATTGTATCACTGCCTTGAAGAATATAGTATAAAAAGAAACTACACTCACGTCATCAAAAGATACATATCAGTTGTAGTCCTTCCCTTGTAAACTAAAACTCTTCTATCAGACATCAATATATGTTTTCTTCCCTTAAAAAAACATTAAATTCAATAGTAAGTTGTTACGACTTAGTGAGCAATTATAATCATAATATGAAATAAATTCATAAATATTGTGCTTGAATGACAATGAGAAATGTAGTTTACTACTTATTCAAAATGTAAGCTTTCGTTTTAAATTTAACCCTACTTATTTCAATTTAAGTATTTACCTTTTTTAACATCTTTAGAAATCATATCAGCATTACCGTCATACCCAAAGGTATCCTCAAAATTGTACACGTAGGTATCCTAAAAAATTTACACCTAAAGATACATCTTTACCATTTCCATTTCTCCTATCATGTACGGCTATATCACATCCTCTGTCAATACCAACTGTACGTAAGTCTAATTGTTAGGAGCCTTTACATTTCATTTTTTTAACTGGTTTCATTTAATGTCATTAAAATCACCATTTTCCTTTTTCAATTTTTACTTCGTTCATTTTAATAATTTTTTCATTCACAATATGCATCAAATTAAAAAAACAGATATATGAATCAATAATGCATTTATTCATTAGTAAACCTTTAATTTAAAACATTCAAGAAAATGTTTACTCGTCATTGCCTTAATAGGCATCTGCAAAATCATATCCCATCACTTTACTTCATTTAGCTAACAACTAAATCAATTAAAGATGCATATGTATATAAGAATCACATTCCTCAAAGAAAGACTTAAATATAGTTAAGTTATTTAAATGATTTCTATCAAATACCTATTTGAATCAACAATTTTTTCAAATCTTATCACTATTTGTACTCATGAAAACTTAAAATATATCTAATGACATATAATTAAAAATTACACATATTAATAAGTATATAAATCCTTACCTTAAAAGATTTGATTTGCTTCCATGTGCTCACGATACATCTTTCTCACTTACAATTTTATTTGATTTAGTATCAAATCTTTTTTCCTTAATATATGATTAAGTTAAAACTAGTATTAGTGGTTAGTAAGTAATTATTTCAATTCAAATAATTAACATCATAAAACCCCAACTCATCATTATCATCGACCATGCAAATTAGAGTTTCGGTTGTCCACTTCACGCCCACAATTCTTCTTCTTCCCTCGTACAGTAAGTTTGTGTCACCCTTATCTCCCTCTAATTCGGGAATTAATAGCTTCAATACTGACTCCACTAAGCATTCTATCAACATTTTAAATAGACACAAACTCACATATATTTTCATAACATTTACCAAATAACTTAATTAAACAATTTAACTCACATTACTTTTGGATACAGCCCTACGCACGCACCAACCTCGACTCTCCTTTGCCTTCGGTCGCATCTCAACCCGACACCGCAAGCACTCGGCGTCGCCCCCTCTGTTTCCTTCTTTCGGCATGTGAGGTTCAACTCCTCGGCGTCAAATAAAGTAAAAGGGATACACATGACGACTCCTCTTAAACTCCCTCCTCTCCTTCACTATCGTTGCTTTCTTCTACTTCCTCTCTTCTTCCTTCTCCTCGAACGATTAGCAAGGGCACCACCTTCCCCTCATTCTCTAGCGCGAATGAGGGGAAGTGCGAAAGAACCGTGCAATAAGTTTCAAGTGAGGGGTGTGCCTCCTCTAACTAGCACCTATTTATTTACTTATTTTATTTTATTAACTATTATTTGATTGTTCATTTGTTTAAACTTCCAATTATTAAATCACTCACAATATTTCATAACATTCAAAGTTTTTTACTATATCGATAATATGTTTATAACATGTTATATATGTACAACCATAAAAGGAGCACCGACTAAAAATTGTATCAGTTAAAGTACTTCAATATAAAAATATTATTTCATTTACATGCATGGATATCTTAGCATTCCCCGCTAATACCATAAAATGGTAGTTTCATCATTGCCAAGCGTACACATAATCAATCCGTGCAATTTATATTATTCATAATTTCATATCACTCAATAGGTGTTTTTTTTTACTCAATAAGTAATATTTAATACTATAATGTATAAAATATTTCATAATGTGAGACTACAAGTATTTACATCAAACTAACAGTTAAAATTTAAGAATAGAAGCATCAATTTCATTAATCAAATATTAATAAAAATTCATACAACTAGTTCGAAAGAGACACAGAAATGATACTATCATGTAAGAGCATAAGTGCTCACCTCAATCACAACGTTGTCTTCTTGATTCACTTCTTCTGCACACCTCAATAAATGCTTAACTCAAATCATAGCATTACTTTTAACTCAAATTTTATTTTAATTAAATAATTACCTAAATTAGAATAATAACCAACAAACCTTTACATTAAAAGGCTCTGTTTGCTTCTTTGCACACAAGGTTTTTCTTCCAATTTGAAACTTGCATAGTTTTAATCCTAATTTGATTAATGCACTATTAACATTTAATAATTTAAACATATGTATTAAATTCATAAATTAACATACTAAAGCCCAATCTCACATTAAGCTTTTCTCATTCTTCTTCTAGTTTGAACCTTGTATGGTTTGATTCCTGATTTAATTAACCATATTATTAACATTTAATAATTTAAACATATGTATTAAATTCATAAATTAACATACTAAAGCCCTAACACGCGCAAGAGCTCCTTCCTCTCTTCTTTCTAGCTTCGATCGACTAGGGCACCACTTCTCTCCCCTTCGGTTTAGTTCTTTCTCGTACGTGCTGCTTCTTCCTCCTCTTCCACTACACGCGAGGGTAGGCTTGGCTCCGCTCAATTGCGAGAATCCATCTACTTCTCCTCTACTCGAATCACCAAGAAACCCGTAATCCTTCGCCTCCACTCCTCTTCTCCTTCGAGCACGACAACTTCTTCTGGCACACTAAAGCACGAAAAGGATGATAGCCAAGCTTTACATTGTAGCTTCTACTCGGAAGTTTGCCGATCACACCCTATGGTAAGTCCTTGTCGCACGACTCACACGTGCGAGTCATTATTCAACATTATCACCTTCGACTTATTCAATGATGCCTCCTCTAGCATAAAGCCAACACGCCTTGTCCTCCTCTTCCACTTTTGGCTTCGAAAGAAATTCCGTGGCAATGATGCCTCCTCTAGCATAAAGCCAACACGCCTTGTCCTCCTTCCTTTCTTGCTCTCTCAGTCTTGTTACAAACAAAGGAATCCATTCTTCGACTCTTAAAGACGAAATGAAACTGTCATGACGATTCATCGAACCATTAACACCAATTCAAACTATATTTATTTATTTTTATTTTATTTATATTTTGTTTATTATTATTTATTTATTTATTTATTTAGAGCTTGCAGTTATTACATAAACTTTCCAGATACATCAAGAATAAATAAGGATATTCTAGAA